CCAGAACTGAGATTTTAAACCAACTTCTGTTAAATTGCAATTATGTATAAATTAAGTGGTCTGATATGCCTTTAGGCTGTATTTTTCTGAATGTTTTCCATGATACACTGGGTCATTTTCACATATTTCTCTGTCATAACTCAAAAATATATTAGTTCCAAATGAGAACCACAGGGGTCAGACACAATTGCTCATGCCACTTTTATAATTAAATAAGTCCAGTACTTTCAGAAGCCAAGGCAGGAGAATTACCTGAGGCCAGGAGTTCAAGACCACCCTAAGCAACACAATGAGACATGTCTCCATTTAAAAAAATTTTTAATTAACTGGGCGTGGTGTTACACGCCTGTAGTCTCAGCTATTCAAGTGGCTGAGGTGGGAGGATCACTTGAGCATGGCAGGTTGAGGCTGCAGTGAGCCGTGACTGCACCACTGCACTCCAGCCTGGGCAACAATGCAAGACTCTGTCTAAAACACAAAACAACAATTAAAAAAAAGAGAACCACAACGACGTCACTTTGAAAAAAAATTATTAAATAAGCCAATATGATCCAGATACTCCTAATATACAATTAACAATAAAAAGCAACAGCACCCAGCTATGGCAGAGAACAGTCGGCCACAGCATTTTTAGGTAATGCCTCAGATGTACCCAGCTCCAAAGCTGAAGTTATTGAGAAGCTTAGTTTTGCCAGAGAGACAATGTTAATATAGAAGAAGCAGTGAGAAACAATGTGCTAAATTGTACAGTACTGACCGGTCAGGCCAAGAAAAGTTAAAAAGGGAAAGTTCTATGTGCTGTGCTGGTTGATCTAAGGGTGAGGGGCTTTGAGGACACCAACTGGGCAGTGCTACTCCAGTGGTGTCTGCAGACGAACTGTGGCTGGTCTGGGAGGAAATGCCAAAGTTGACGGTAAGTTTTCAGAAACTTATGTAGCAACTGGCAGCGTCATGACATTTTTATTGTCTTTTACAAAGACATCACTTACAATGGATTGGAAATAAAAATGAACAAATACAAGTGGTCCTTCACCACCAACAGCATGAGAGCCACTGAAGTGGAGGTGAGCAGCCATTCCAGGAAGGAGGAACGGCAGAAATAGGATCCTGGGAGCAGAAACAGGCACTGCAGAGAGACTGCGAGGAGTGGGCTAGGGAGCAGAGAGCAGGTGATGGAAACAGCAGGTGATGGAGAAGGGAGGGCAAGGCTGGCCTTGGAAAACACCGCCAGGCAGAGGAGAAGGCGAGGAGTGAGTGTGACCACAAACTGTTTCACAAGCCGCATGTCCAAAAGTGCTTGAACACAGAAGTATTATTAAATTGGGTCTATTTTACAGACGAAACTTGGTAGAGAATAACTTTCAAGCTGATACAGCGTCCACCACTGAAATACCAATTACCAAAGTAGTAAATGGAAAATGAGAAAATAAAAGCTGAAAACTAGTCAGCCAAACTCAGCTTCTCTGGAACAATAAAATGTCCTGAGCAAGTTATCAAAGCACCCAAAGAAGTGAAATAACCACTCCCGTGCCCCACCATGTCCCCGTGCTCACCGCACTGCTGGGCAACTGCCACCATCGTATAGTGGCGGATCAAGCTGGCCACGAAGGGCAGGGCACTGGGCCGCAGGTCCTTAATGACGGCGGACATGAAGGCGCCTGTCAGGGCCTGCTCAAACGTCTTCCGGGCTGGAGTGTCCTGGGCTTTGTAGCGATGTGAGATGATGACGTTGGGGATGGTCTTTTCTGTAAAGCTGAAAGACAAAATCAGATCCGGCATCACAACACCCATCTCCTGAGCTGATGACTCCACCAGGACTTCTTTTTAAATTTTTAATCTACCTGTTTCCCTCTTATTCAGACAGGTCTGGGTGAGGTCATTTCTCTGCTTTAATTTCAGCAACACGTGGACAGAGTCTCACTCTGTCGCCCAGGCTGGAGCGCAGTAGCACGATCTGGGCTCACCACAACCTTTGCCTCCCGGGTTCAAATGATTCTCCTGCCCCAGCCTCCCAAGTAGCTGGGATTACAGGTGCCCTTCACCACACCCAGCTAATTTTTCTTGTATTTTTAGTAGAGACGGGGTTTCACCATGTTGGCAAGGCTGGTTTCGATGGTCTCAAACTCCTGACCTCAGGTGATCCACCTGCTTCAGCCTCCCAATGTACTGGGATTACAGGCATGGGCCACTGTGCTTGGCCTTTTTTTTTTTTTTTTAATTTTAATCTATTTATTTAGAGACTGGGTAATTTTGTATTTTGGGTAGAGACAGAGTGCTACTGTATTGCCAAGGCTGGTCTGGAACTCCTGGGCTCAAGCGATCTACCTGACTCGCCCTCCCAAAGTGCTGGGATTACAGGCATGAGCCACTGTGGCCTGGCCCTCACAGATCTTGATTTCTAACATGGTTAACGACGCCTTCTCTTTTTTAATCCACGTCAGTCTCACAAGAGGCTTTTCAATTTTTTTTTTTTTTTTTTTTTTTTTGAGACGAAGTCTCACTCCGTCTCCAGGCTGGAGTACAGTGGCGCGATCTCAGCTCACTGCAACCTCTGTCTCCCAGGTTCAAGTGATTCTTCTGCCTCAGTCTCCCAAGTAGCTGGGACTACAGGCATGCACCACCACGTCCAGCGAACTTTTGTATTTTTAGTGGAGATGGGGTTTCACCATGTTGGCCAGGGATGGTGTTGATCTCCTGACGTTGTTATTTGCTCGCCTGAGCCTCCCAAAGTGCTAGGATTACAGGCATGAGCCACCGTGCCCGACCGAGGCTTTTCAATTTTATGATCTTCCCAGAGAACCAACTTTGGCTTTATTGAGCCATTCTACTGCATTTGTGTTTGTTTACTTTTTCTGACTTTTAACTCAAGTTTCAACATTTGTTCTTTTCTATGCTGATTTTTAACAGCTTTCCTGAGGTATATTCATGGGCCATGGAATTGATGCATTTTAATTATACAGTTCAGTGGGTTTTAGTAAATGAGTACAGTTGTGTAAACCATCACTACAATGCAATTTTAAAACTTCATCCCAAAACATCAGTCCCCACTCCTACTCCCCAGGCAACCCCTGATCTGCAATCTCTGCTTTGTCTTTGCTACAAATTTCACATAAACGAAATCACGTAACAATCTTGGGTTTGGCTTCGTTTTCTTGGCATGACTTTTGAGATGACATGCCCATGCTGGCTGAAGCTCCCCGCTTTTCATAGCTGGGTTGTGTCCATCTGCCACATTCTGTGTATTTGCCAGATGACAAAAATGCAGCTTGTTCCCAGTCTATTATGATTTAAAAATGTAGCTGGTTTCCGGTCTATTATGGTTAGTCAAGGCTGTAAGTTTCCCTTTGAATATCACTTTAGCTGCATCCCATTCACATTTGGTCACGAATTGTCATTTTCCTGGCTTTTTCCTTCTCCCACCTCTGATCTTCCACAGAGATCATAGAGAAACTTTCGTCTGAATGAAGTTCATCCTCTAGAATGCTCTTCACTGAAGATGTGCTGATGGCAGATTTCTTTTTTTATCTGAAAACATCTTTCATCCTTATTCATGTCATATTGCACCAGATATATGATTCTAAGTTGGCAATTCTTTTCTTTCAGACTAAAGATTTACTCCATGGTTCAGTGGCTTTCACAGCTTCCAAGTGATCATTCATTTGAATGTCATCTTTTTGTTGTGCCGTCTTTTAAGATTTTTCCTTTGTTTCCGATTTGTAGTTGTTTCGCTACAGTTTGCCTATGTAGATTACTTTTTATTTATCCTGCTTTGGATTTACTGAACATCTTGAATCTGTGCACTAACTTTTTCTTCAGTTCTGGAAAATTCTCAGTCATTATGTCTCTCTGCTCTTTTTTCAGGGTTTCAAGTAAATGATGTTATTTCCCTCTACTCTTCATGTCTCTTACTCTCTTTATTGAATTTTCCATCTTTTTCTCTCTCTGCATGCATTCTAGATAAGTATTTGACAACTTCTTAAAGGTTCTCTAAATTTTTGGGGCAATATTTATTGGGTTTCTATTTCTTAGAGATATTTTCAAGTTTCTCTTTCATTAATTTAAACATTCTAAGCATAGTCAACCTAGTTCTAATAATCCTAACACCTGAAGCCTGTGCAGCTATTTCTGCCTTTCATTTGTTCTGCTGGCTCTTACACATGTTGCTTTACTTCCTTGTGCATTCGATTACCTTGACTCCTCTCTCTCTCTTCAATGTCCTTTAGACAACTGAGCACCTACCATAAACTCAGCATCACTTCTGACGCTGTGAGGAATGTGAAAATTGACAAGAAAAATCCATCCCTTGAAACTTACAACGCAGAAAGATGGTATACATGTGTTCCCTCAAAAGATCATTACATTAAGGTCATGCACAGTCTCAAGAGATAAAAGCAAGATACAGACATAAGAAATATTTGGAGAAAAATCACTGCAAACTGAAAATGCAGAGGGTCCACTGGATGCCTTTCAGATGTCAACTGCTGTGGACAGAATGTGAGACAAAGGGAGGGAGAAGGGACATGACCTTTGATTTCTTCATGCTTACAAACTAATAGAGGAGGTGACAAGACACAATAAAGGCAGGTGACAACTGCGATGCCTTCTGGTTCTCAAGCACCCAGTTCTCTTTTCCATTTTCTCTAAGGCCCCAAGGAGGAGGAGTAGGTAGATAATATGGCATCTGCCGGACATAAAGGAGTCTGCTCCTAGCACCAGGAAACCTGGGAGCCCCTCTGGAGCCCCAATTCCTAAAGCCGGATCCACCCAATCACGAGGAAGGAAATGGCCGACATACTTGGGGTGTGCCAGGAGCTGGTACAGGGCGTGTTTGTTGTCCTCCAGGCTCATCATGGCCACCAGGAAGCACTTGATCACTTCCCACGCCTGCCTCCGGTAGTAGGGCTCAGTGTTGGCACTTTTCAGGCAGTCCAGAGCAGTTTCAATGGCCTATGATCAAGACACAAAGAAACTGCAGTTTGTGCTCAAAATTACATGATTGTAAAAAGCTTTCACTGAAAGTATCTGCAGCACCCAGAAGACTCTTAATGCATATTTCTAAACAGGTGCCTTAACCAACTAAGCCACAGCACTAGCTTCATGTGTATTTGCTTTTGAAGATAACACAATGGGCCAATGCAGCCTAACAGGTATTCAGTAGATGAAGCTTCCAAAAGAGGCAGTAGAAGTATCATAAAATAAATAACTGCACAGTTCAAAGTAAAATGCAAGATGGAGTTGAACAATTTCATGTTCAAATAGCCAGTGGCAGATTACAGAAACTAAGTGAACTCGGAGAGCCTCTTGTGGTAGATTTGCTGGGTTAAACCAGATTCTGCCTCACCCACACACACTCATCAAGGTCCTAATAATAATAATGAACTTTCTGCAAAGCATACTTTGCTGTGTGTAGATTCGAAACTGAAAGACGGCGTTCTTAAGCTTTTACTAAACTCACTCTTTAAGAAAGAAAAAAGTTTACATCATTTTTTTCAGAAAGCCTACATAACTACACACACACATTTTTATTCTATTCATTCCAATGGGGTTGACTGAGATAGCAGTGAAGACACAATCACACACCGAAGTAATCTGAAGCCTTTAACAGCCAAGACGTTCACCTTAACAATAATTACGTACATATACATCAAATAACTAATCTTTGTTAACAATTTACCCAGACCCTGTGTGAGGAACCAGGAGAGGCTGACGACAGGGAAAGAGGCCCTCCCCTCCAGCCCTGCCAGGCTCGGAGACACACAGCGCACATAACATGACAACAGCTCCTACCCGGATGAACTCTGGCTTGTCTGCGCTTTTCTGGGGTACTGCGCAACTGTCTGGGATCTGGTCAGTTAACAGTCATAAATGATGATACTTTCTAAAATTTTATTTTTAAGAATCAATATAACCTATGAGCCAATTACCTGCCAAAAAGAATCATGGACTGCCAAGGGCTCCAAAAGCACAGAATGGTTTAATGGAAACTCACTGGCGTGTGGCTTGGCCATGCTAATCTTTCCCTTTACCGATGGACTCCTTAGCTCTGCAGGGTGTGCTGCAGCCAACACCCGCCTGCAGGCCAGCAGGATGTCCTGCTCAGAAAAAAGGCCTTGGCAGGCACCACGGTGAGCCTCTGTAAGGGAGCCTGGACCCTTACGGTCCTATCTCACACCTTTCTGCAAAAACCTGATTTCTTCCAGACTTCAGCTGCTTTGGGGCAAAACTACTTCTAAAGGGATTTTGGTGGGGTGGGGGAGGGAAGCTCTTAGTCTATACAGAGTCAAACAGAAGACGCTTTAGTTTGCACTACTAATACTAACCTTATCACGGATGCAGCTAAGCAAGCAGAATTTTATCTCAAGGAAATTACCAGGATGTGGGAAACTACTGCGGGAAACTACTGCAGGTACAAGGATGTTACTATTTTCAAAAAAGACAGAATTTGAGCCATCTGATTCTCTTAGGAGGAAAGCTGCATTCATTTGCAAAGTACATGGATAAAGGTCTGAGTTAGAGGCTGAGACTGCACCCACCCTGAGGCTGGAGAGGGAACAGTGCTTCATCAGGTGGGAGTTGGGGAGGGCTGGGGATGAGGTGCAGGCTTGAGGAAGTTGGGGGGACAGGCAGAGTGAGATGATGACAGAAAACAAGTCCAGAGTGACGCTTATCTGTACTGGCATCTCCCTCCCCAATGTTTAGTTATGAACACAGAAGCTACTACATGGGCACATGTCTTCTACAGAGGTAAACAGGCCCAGTGCTACACCACGATGCAACAGGGCAAGGCAGAATTAGCCAGAGCAAAGGGAGGGAGGCCACCAATGCTGGCTGAAGATCAGATCTGTGAGAGGCTCAGGGCCCCAGCAGGCAGCCAGCTTACTGAAACGCCCAACTCAGGCAGATCCATTCAAAAGGCTACCATCATATCCTTAAAAAAAAAAATACCCAATACACAACCGCTAGATGATGTCCTGCAAAGACATGGAAACAAGTACTGACACCATGGGGGTAAGGGCTGGTGACAGAGTAGGGGAAAAGCCAATGTGACGACGAGATGATGCTGACACAAGACTAGGACACGGCAGTGCGCCGGACACTCCAGCAGGGTGCGGGGGCACTGTCTGCTTTTCACACAATAAAACTAGAGTCTCCAACGGGCCTAAGAGAGACCCAGGAACTGTCAGCAGTGGAATGAGAGCCAGAAATGAGACAGCGCAAGCTGCATTTGGATGGAGACTGGGAGAAAGTGAGGCACTGCGTGTGGCTGCAAACAGAGACAGGCATGGACTCTACTCAGGTTCTCAGTAAGCCTGCGGGCGTCAGAATGGATGCAGTTAACGGCGGGATGTGCTGGCATCTCCTCCTGGTCACCAGGAGACGGAGCTGCTCCGGAGTCCCAAGTTCTCAGGTGACACCCCTCTGCTGGCCTCCTGGTGTTAGGAAAGTTCCCCATGCCAACCAGGCTGATCATCTGATACATCTGGTTCTACTCAGAAACTGCCTCCACAAAACACACAGGCCTAATTAATATTTTCACAGACACTGAAACATAGTATCTTCACAAGGCTTAAAACGAAAGGACACTGTCACAAGGCTCCAAGCTTACCTTCTCCATGGGGAGCTGGAGAGAGGCTTTACAGTCGGAAAACTCCACAGTGATGCTGGGGCCCTGAACTTCAGTCACAACATAGTGCAGCTTCTGCGACTCCTTCAGCATCTTCCTGTTACTGCCGCCAAACTTACCGAGGACACGGTAGGCCACGTGGGAGATGCTGTCAGCAGGGTTGCGTAAGGTGCGCCACAGAGCCTAAAAATCAGCATGCTTTCATTAAGGTCCTCTTAAGGTAACGCCTTCACAAGGTTTGGATGAAAACTCAAAGGGGGGCCAGGCGTAATGGCTCACGCCTGCAATTCCAGCACTTTGGGAGGCCAAGGCGGGTGGATCACCTGAGGTCAGGAGTTTGAAACCAGCCTGGCCCAGAGGGCAAAATCCCGTTTCTACTAAATATAAAAAAATTCGCCAGGCATAGTGGCAGGCACCTGTAATCCCAGCTACTTGGGAGACTGAGGCAGGAGAATCACTTGAACCCAAGAGGTTTCAGTAAGCCAAGACTGAGCTACTGCACTCTAGCCTGGGCAACAGAGCAAGACTGTGTCGAAAAAAAAACTCAAAGTGATGAAACACTGCTTGGCAACAATCCTTCCTTCCACCTCTGTCCCCAAACACACAGTTCTTCCTTCTTTGGGGAAACCAACGTTATTAATTTGCGTATTCTTACAAGAAAATTTTATGTCCTTATAAAGTAAATGTGTAAATATAAATGTTCACCCATGCTCCTGGAATATAAACAGTAGCGTATTATAAGTGGTGCAGAGCTCTCAAGCAAGAAAACTAAGCAGTATCTTGTTTGGGCACGTGCTATATAAAAGTGGGTGGGGAGGAGCATGCAGGTGGATGCGACTTAGTGGTAAGGTTCCAGTCCTGGGTGGGATGGCAACTTCTCAGGTTAAGTCTATTTATTAAGCTTTATAACTTACAAACATGGTATCAATTGTCTTGTGCACTTCAAATCTTACAACAGAAAGGGTGCTAAAGGAAAAACATGATCACAAAGGCATCTGCATTACAGGACTACTGGGAAGAAGTTAACATGGACCCTGCATTTAAGAAACACGCACACTCGTCCGGGCGCGGTGGCTCATGCCTGTAATCCCAGCATTTTGGGAAGCCAAAGTGAGCCAATCACAAGGTCAGGAAGCTCAAGACTTGTCTGGCCAATATAGTGAAAGCTCGTCTCTACTAAAAATGTAAAAATTGGCCAGGTGTGGCAGCAGGCACCTGCAGTCCCAGCTACTTGGGAGGCTGAGGCAGGAGAATCACTTGAACCTGGGAGGCAGAGGCTGAAGTAAGCCAAGATCGTACCACTGCACTCCAGCCTGGGTGACAGAGCGAGACTCCATCTCTAAAAATAAAGAAACATGCACATTCAACTATCCCAAAAAAACTCTAAATTTCTCCACATTTTTTCATCTGAATTATCAGAGGTCCTAAAAATTACTACAGTTCACTATGTAAGTCTATTTTCTTCCTTTTTTTTTGAGATGAAGTCTCGCTCTGTCAATCAGGCTGGAGTGTAGCAGCACAATCTTGGCTTACTGCAACCTCCGTCTCCCAGGTCCAAGCAAGCAATCCTCCCACCTCAGCCTCCTGAGTAGCTCAGCCTCCTGAGCAGGATATGGTGCCCCACCATATCCCTGGCTAATTTTTTTGTTATTTCTTTTTAGTGCAGATGGGGTTTCATTACGTTGACCAGGCTGGTCTTGAACTCCCGACCTCAACTGATCCGCCCGCCTCAGCCTCCCAAAGTGCTGGGATTACAGGTGTGAGCCACCACGCCTGGCTGTAAATCTATTTTCTTAAATCACCTTCCATAACAATGCCAAATATTCATGTCTAGCAATATTCCTTAACATAAAATCTTGGTACCTTTCTCTAAACCAAGCAAAATTCCAACTTCTCTTATGTCCCGGTAGATTCAAACATGCTTCTCTTTAATAACTGTCAGAAAGGTGGTCTAAGACCCCTTGCCGAATCCACCCTCCACCTGGCCCACCCAACCCTTGGGTGTCCTTAGGAGGGCGCAGTCCTGGGAACAAGCACGCCTTCCTGCTGTGCTTTAATGGCCTCAGCTGAATGATGGGACTGCGAGAGGCTGGTCATATGCTTTTCACCTGGAGGCCTATGGTGGTTCCTGTGGCTTTGACCCTGTGTGTGTCTCTCCTGGGCTGTATGCCTTCTCATGGATGGTGAGAAGGCCTAAGAACCACCTCCTCCCCCTCTCCCACATGCTGCTCATGCACCCTGGGTCAGGCACAGGGTCTGCCTTCTGGAACCAACACTACCGTTCTAAAGGCAGACTCTCGTCAATACTCCAGGTAACCAGCAGGGACTCTGAACCACCCCTATGCCATCTTTATTGTTTGTTTTTTTGAAGCAGGGTCTTGTTCTGTCACTCAGGTTGGACTGCAGTGGTTTAATCATGACTCACTGTAGTCTAACCTGCTGAGTTCAACTGATTCTTCCACCACAACCTCTTGAGTAGCTGGGACTACAGGTGTGCACCCCCAAACCCAGCTGATTTTTTGTATTTTTAATAGAGATGGGATTTCACCATGTTGCCCAGGCTGATCTGGAACTCCTGGGCTCAAACAATGCTCCTGCTTCAGCCTCCCAAAGTACTGGGATTACAGGTGTGAGCCACTGTGCCTGGCCCCTATGCCATCTTCTTACAGCCTAGATGAAGCCCAAGACCTAAATCTCAGGAAGGGAGGGGAAACCCCCCAACCTCAAACTCAAGTCCTAGCTGCAGTCTCTAATCTAATGTGTTGACTCCTAGGAGTAACTGAGCCTCCACCACCTAAAGCGGGCATTCTTACTCCAATCTGGGGTCAAATACCTGCTACTAAAGGGGCAGATGCTTTGAAACAGACAGCCTAATCCTCTAAAGATAACCAACCAGATCACAAATCAGTAACAGCAAAATATGAAGGAAAAACCTAACTTTAACATATGAACTTTTTTTTTTTTTGAGACAGAGTCTCGCTCTGTCACCCAGGCTGGAGTGCACTGGTACAATCTGTGATCACTGCAACCTCCACCTCCCAGGTTCCAGCAGTTCTCCTGCTCAGCCTCCTGAGTAACTGGAACTACAGGCACCTGCCACCATGCCTGGCTAATTTTTGTATTTTTAGTAGAGACAGGATTTCACCATGTTGGCCAGGCTGGTCTTGAACTTCAGGACTCAAGTGATCCACCTGCCTCAGCCTCCCAAAGTGCTGGGATTACAGGCGTGAACCATCATGCCCGACCAACATATGAACTTTAATAAACAAAAATACAAATGTCTTCAAAACAACCTCCTTTATTATCTGCTCTTTTTCCCTTCAGATAGGGTAGAGCAGATGCCTGTAACTTCCCTTTAGTCAATATCCCTTTACTACGCAACTGAAGATCTTTCTTGGATAGAGAGGTTCTTGCTGGAAACAACAGTGGCCATATAGTAACTCTAACAGCTGCCTTCATCAGTCATCAACTTATTAGGAATATACCCCTCGTGAAAGCTCTCTGAAAAACAGGCAGTGCTGCAAAACAATGTCCATTCAATACCAACATTTCTTTACACATTTTTTTTTCTTTTGAGACAGGGTCTGACTTTGTCGCCCAAACTGGAGTATAGCGGTGCAATCAGAGCCCTCTGAAGCCTCGTCCTCCCTGGGCTCAGGTGATCCTCCTGCCTGAGCCCCGAGTAGCTGGGATTAAAGGTGTGGGTTACTATGCTTGGCTAATTTTTGTATTTTTTGTAGAGATGGGTTTTTACCACGTTGCCCAGGCAGGTCTCCAACTCCTAGGCTCAAGCGATCTGCCCTCTTCAGCCTCCCAAAGAAGAGATTACAGTCATGAAACACTGGCCTTTTTTACATAGTTCCATCCAACAAAAGACTCGCACAGACGAAGTAAGCAGAGAGTTGCACCAGTCCATCTTGCAGAGAGCCCACCCTTGAGTACAAAGAGCCCAATGCTGGCCCACTGCTTCCGGGGAAGCAGCCCAGCTAACACCCTCACTAGTCTTACCTGCATGAGCTCTGCGCGCACTGGCTGGATGTGGTCATAGAGGAAGTCGGGCTGCAGGTTGTCCACACACAGCTCCAGTGTCCTGAGGCCTTGGCTGACCAACGTCTGAGACCCGTTGAGCGCAGACACCAAGGGATCCATGAGCATGGGTAGGTACGGCAAGAGCGAGCTCAGCCGCACGGGGACGGTGAGACACAGCTCCACAAAGAGGTCCTTCATGTGCTGCTTGTGCAGGCCACTCTGCAGCATGTTCAGCCCTAGGGAAGAGGGTACAGCCGTCAGAGAGGGAAGGCGCTCCCTGGACTCGGACCCAGGTTAAACGCACAAAAGAACTGCCCCTCCTTCTCTCATGCATGCCAGCACGACTGCAGGGAGTCCTCTGCGCCCCTAGACTCCACCCTGTAACATCTGTCCCCATAACTGCATCCATGACCCCTTCTGAGTGGCAACAACAGGCCGAATGTAACTGTTATAAATTATAATCACAGTATTATATCCTTTTAATATTCTAATTTTTAAATTACGTTGTACTATCAGGCTTCCAATAAATCAGTTGAGATCTATTCTCTGAACAGTTTTCAAAACTACTTTTTCGCATATTATAAATGGAGAGGAGCCTCCTTCTGATAAAGTCCACCCTCCCCACCACTCATGAGGACAGTCAAGGATTTATTGAGTCCGTTCCTAATTGAGACAGTCCCACTGACAGCCAAGACTAGCTAGAAAGAGAAAGTCGTATGGCAGTGAACCCGAGGCAAGGCACATCCTGCGCAGCATGGGCAGGCAGAATGAAGGACGAGAACTCAGGGAGAAGAGAAGTCATCAGGGATGGCCTCACGGGGCACCAAAACCAGGTCCCAAATCCAAAGGATAAGGAGGATGGAAGAGTGCAAGGGGCTGAGTTCCCAGGACAGGATCAGCTTGAGAAACACACTTGGGGGCAGCTGAGAGCATAGGGGGAAATCAGACTGCACAGAACAGGAGCTTGGGTCAGGAATGACCAGAGACAGGGTTAAATGTGGACACAATGCCAGCTTGTGGGCTCCTCCCACGGCGGATTCATTGCCATTTCAGTCAAGAGATTCAAGGATGTCCCAGTTGCCTCCTGGGTATCCTATGTCACTTCTCTAAGGAAGTTAAGGAAATACATGGAAGGGTCAATCCCTTGTCAAGAGCTCACCTTGCCAAGAAGTGTAACGAATTCCTGGAACAGTGTTTCCAATCAGCTCACACCCCATAAGCATTCAACGAACCCAGATCCCCGTCAACTACGTACCTTGAGAGCATTCCTAATTATACAGGAATTACAGGATTCTGGCTATGCAAATCAGAAGCTAAATGAAAATATAAACTAACTGTAAGTCAACTTTGTCACGTGCTTTTTCTTTTTTTGTTCTGATTCTCTATTAATCTAGAGATCCTCGATCTTCCTAAACCACTAGAAACCACTTTCTAGACTTGCTTACCAAACACTATAAAAATGCAACCAAGCCCTAACCAGGGCAACTAAAACCTAAATCCCATTCAATGCTGTGGAGGGAGGGGAAGAGCCCAGCCCTGAAGAGAACGCCCTTCAAAGTCCCAATGGGGGACGGGGGCGGGGGGGCGCTATGTGCCACATGCCAACCCAGCAACCATGACCCTCACCAGTTACAGAGGATAAAGTCCAGCAATGAGGGTGGCTACACACATGACTAAATGGCACACAAGGCTAAAAGGCAACCAAAGTCAGTGCTCTGACCTTGCAGGAGGTTTGGAAGGAGAGGCAAGAACTCCTGATACAAGAGATCGTGGCTACCTCCACCAATAGAGCGAAACAGCGCCCGGAGCAGCAAGAAGTAGTTGTAGGGTTCCTTGGCGGTCTGTGCGAGCTCCATGGAGCTGTTCACAATCTTGTGCAAGTGAGGCTGCAGGTGGAGAAGACACAGATGAGTTCATACCCTCCAGACTCTGAAGTGTCACCAAGAGCAATGCAAGGCAATTGTGATGTGTTTACTCCAAAGCGGAAAACCAAACAAGCACATTCTAACTTTACTTGACTCCAAATAGTTTACCTTAAACTTTATGTTGGTATCCGTAACAAATGAAATGCAAAAAGTAACCTACAGGGGCTGGGTGCGGTGGTTCCTGCCTGTAATACTAGCACTTTGGGGAGGCCACGGCAGGCGGGATCACCTGAGGTCAGGAGTAAAGACCAGTTTGGCCAAGACAGTGAAGCCACGTCTATACCAAAAATGCAAAATTAGCAGGGCATGGTGGTGCACACCTGTAATCCCAGCTACTCGGGAGGCTGAGGCAGGAGTATCACTAGAGCCCAGGAGGCGGAGACTGTAGTGAGCCAAGATCATGCCACTGCACTCCAGCTTGGCTCACAAGAGTGAAATTCTGCCTAAAAAAACAAAAAAGTAACCTACAGGAACTGAAACTGGACTACCAATCAAATAAGATGTATGCAAAGTATAAAAAACATCTCAAAAGATTACAGGGTTTTGGAAAACTGAAAAATTTTTTATATAAACCTTTAAAAAAAACCACTCTACTAGATCACAGGAGCTTTAGTCAACATTTTAAACCATATTAACTTTTTATTTTATACTCAAATCCTGGTTTTGACATGTCACAGACTAAGTTTCACATGAAATTTTTTTGCATGTATATTTAAGTAACTATAAACTGCTGGTATAGTCACTGATACAATTCCAAATTTATTATGGTATATGGCATGATATATTTATTTTACAAAACTACATGTGTTATTCTGGACAAAAAGTTATGTGAAAATTGCCCCTTGAATTTTTTTTTTGAACAACACTCCAACATTCTTTTTTTTTTTTTTATAGGGTCTCACTTTGTCTCCCAGGATGGAGGACGGTGGCACGATCTCAGCTCACTGCAACCTCCGCCTCCCAGGTTCAAGTAATTTTCCTCCCTCAGCCTCCCCAGTAGCTGGAATTACAGGCATTTGCCCCCTCACCCAGCTAATTTTTTTCTATTTTTAGTAGAAATGGAGTCTCACCATGTTGGCCAGGCTGGTCTTGAACTCCTCCTGACCTCAGGTGATCTGCCCACCTTGGCCTCCTAAAGTGCTGGGATTACAGGGGTGAGCCACCACACGGCCACATTCCAACATTCTAATATTAGGTTTGTCCTGATAGGTTTTAACCTGGGCTTTTTGTTGTTGTTTTGCATGGTCATATCTAATGCTGGCAAAAACCGAATTATTTGAGGATAATGAATTATGTGGACACAGGTTATAATTAAATACTTTTTATCTTTAAATTTAAAAATAAGTATTTTCCCTTTTTTTTTTTTTGGAGACAGGATCTCCCTCTATCACCCAGGCTGAAGTGCACCGCAGCCTTGACCTGAGCTCATTCAAACAATCCTTCTTCAGCCTCCTGAGTAGCTGGGACTACTGGTGCGCACAACTACATCCAGTTGATTTTTTAAAAAATCAATTTTGTAGAGAAAGATCTCAATATGCTGCCCAGACTGGTCTTGAACTCTTGGGCTCAAGCAATCCTCCTGCCTCAGCCTCCCAAAGTGCTAAGATTATAAGATTATAGGCATGAGCTACCAGAGTTACCAAGGCTTGGGCAGTATTCTCCTTCTATTAACACAAAAGTTAAGACTGTTGACAAGCGATCACTACAGAACTGCAAAAAGAAAACAAAGAAAGCACCTCGTGAAAGCACAGGTTACTGGAGCTGTCTCACCATCTGCGCAATTACTCCCAATGAACAGATCTTGTTTACAACTTCAAATTTTCCCCTGTGAGAAAACATCTCTTTTGACACATTCAATTTTCATAGAAAGTAAGATGTTTTGCCACAAGGGGGAGGGTATTTTTATAAGGTTTTTATTCTACCACTTGCTGCTTTTAGTGAGTGATGTAACCAGGGATAGGTTTTACCCATTCGCCAGACTCAAATAACAGGTGAGATCCTATTATATAGGATTAGTCATCTATGAAAATGGATGACGAGACACCTTCTGTAAAATGTTGTTAATAAAGAAGCACAGGCTGATCAAAATTCTTAATTTAAAGGGGAAAAAGAAACAAACAGTCCTGAAATGTGTCACTTTCATATTACCAAGACTGTGAACACAGAGAAGACACAAAACTTGAGTGATGGCTAGGCGAGGTGGCTCACACCTGTAATCCCAGCACTTTGGGAAGCCGAGGCAGGTAGATCACAAGGTCAGGAGTTTGAGACCAGCCTGGCTAACACGGTGAAAACCCATCTCTACTAAAATACAAAAATTAGCCAAGCGTGGTGGCATGCACCTATAATCCCAGCTACTCGGGAAGCTGAGACAAGAGAATTGCTTGAACCCGGGAGGTGGAGGTTGCAGTGAGCCAAGATAGCACCACTGCACTCCAGCCTGGGTGACAGACTCAAAAAAACCCCGCCCCCCAAAAACAAAAACAAAACCTGAGTGAAGTGGACAACTGTCAATGTAACTAACCGCAGCACCAGTTTAAACTGGTTCAGCTTCATCTGAGTTGATTTCAGTTCCAACACACTCCAAGGCTGCAAGTGGCAAGCATATGCAGGTGAACCAGGCATGTGTGATTAGTGACCCTGGGGCTCGCTGGAAGGAAAAGTTAACCACAGATGGAACCCAAGTACCTGGACCAAATGAAGAAACAAGGAGGGCCCCATTTTGTTGCAATAGGAACTTAAGACCCAGTACTGCCTCTCTGCAGAGCTCAATCATTTTTCTATCTCCCTCACAGTTGCTCGTCCTATAAAACCCACCCTGAGACCATAGCTCTGGGAGACAGATTTGAATGTGGTCTCCTGTGTCCTTGTCAACTGACCTTGCAATAAAGATGTTTTTTTTTCCTGAAAAGCTGGTACCATGGTATTGGCTTCAATATGCATCTGGCAGGGAGACCATTGCTTGGAAACATAATCAGAACTGTCACACCGTATTTGAGAGGTATGTGAAGACATTTTTTCCTTGTAGTTAGTTTATCTGCATCACTGAATTTTTTAAAAATAAGAACAATCTCATCCTATTTTATTTGTGCAATCCAAAAAAAAATTAAGTTTAAAAAAGAAAATCAGTGGTGTCGATACTAGTAACACTACACTTGCTGGCCACAGAGTTCTGGATTTTTCAAGTTATGAGATAGATAAATTAGGTTCTGCTTAGAAATACATGGAATGTTTTTCACACTTGGCCCTTTCACACTTGGCAAATATTTACTATTTCAAAGAGCACTTTATAAAGAGTCACTACGGTTTCTGTTTAAAAGTGAAAATAAGAATTAAAAAAAAAAAAAAAAGCCCAAGCCAGGCACAGTGTCGAGTGACTGTAGTCCCAGTAACTGGGGAGGCTAAGGCAGGAGGACTGCTTGAGTCCAGAAGGCTGACCAGACTGGGCAACACAGTGAGGCCGTCTCTAACGACAACAGTAAAACCCTGAACAGAAGCACTACTTAGATTAAACGGACTTTACCTTCAGCATTTGTTCATTTTCAGCTGCGAAGAGGGAGACAGAGCCAAAGACCAGCTTAAACAGCTTGAGGTACAGGTTGGAGAGCTCCACATTGGAGCCCATTTCTGGCAGGCGATCAAGGAGATACTCCACCAGAATTGTAGCAAACAAAGCAGAGGTAGTAGGATTTGCCAAGAAGGAATTGGCAACAATCTGTCAAAACAAGAAACGCATGTGACAAAATTAATACCTTCCCTAAAGCAGCTTTAAGACAAAGTGGCGAGCTTCCCTAAAACATAAAATCGAAACTGTATCACACACTCCAAGAAATTTAATTATCCACCAAAGGAAAAAAATGGAATGGGTGTACTGAGCATTGAGCAGGGCAGTTGACTTCAATGACGTAATCTGTTATTTCATTCTCATCAACAAATACAAAGGACTACATTTAATACAACTTTTTTTTTTGACACTTTGAGACGGGGTCTTGTTCTGTCACCCAGGCTGGATTGCAGTGATTTGACCTCAGCTGACTGCAGCCTCAACCTCATGGGCTCAAATAATCCTCCTGCCTCAACCTCCTGAGTAACTGGGACTACAGGTGCCTGCCACCAAACCCGGCTAATTTTTGTATTTTTTCTAGAGACTGGGTTTCACCATTGTTGCTCAGGCTGATCTTGAACTCTTAGGCTTAAGCAATCCTTGGCCTCCTAAAGTGCTGGGATAACAGGCATGAGCTATCGCACTTGGTCCACATATTTATTTCTACTAATGAAAGGAACTGATCTAAAGCATCTGAATCTTTTGAAAATTGTTTCAAGGCCGGTTGTGGTGGCTCATGCCTGTAATCCCAGAACTTTAGGAAGCTGAGGCAGGCAGATCACCTGAGGTCAGGAGTTCGAGACTAGTTTGACTAACACGGAGAAACCCTGTCTCTACTAGAAATACAAAATTAGCTGGGCGTGGTGGTGCATGCCTGTAATCCCAGCTACTCGGGAGGCTGAGGCAGGAGAATTGCTTGAACCTGAGAGGCAGAGGTTGCAGTGAGCTGAGATTGCACCACTGCACTCCAGCCTGGGCAACAAGAGCAAAACTCCATTTAAAAAAAAAGAGCAAAATTGTTTCAAGACATTATGGCCTAGTATTTCTTTAAATTTTTCTCTATTAAGCACATCCTTGGCTATATTGTTTTTAAAATGCTCAAGACAAATGAAAAAGTATTTAAGACATAAACAATTGTAAACTTAATGCTCAAACAACACTGAAAAAGGAGTTTTATACCTGAAGAGCGTAATTTTTTGAGATTCTCTCCACCATATAAGGGACCGTAGTTTGGAAGATTTCTTTGAACGTTAAGGGGTTCATCATTGTGAACACGCCAGCAAAGTGCTCCAATACCTCCTTCTCTTCTTTCATTCTCACAGTCTGGCAGTTGGCCACTCGAATGTACGTTTGTCCATTTCCTGCTATCTGGACCTAATACAGGGGAGAAAAGCCACCCCTGAGCATTAAAACTGAGGCTCTCTGAATATATTTCATTATATAACCAGATCAGTTACATACTTAAAATAGAGCACTTAAATTAGATAATAAATGACCCCCTCCAAAATCTTTTAAATTCTTTCTCCCCTTAATTTTGGAATTTAAAAAAAAAAAAAAAAAACCTGTAGATGTTCAGACCATGAAAAATATTCATAAGTTTAAGTCTTATATTTCTATTGCATTCCGTTTACACCATCTGCCCCACAAAATGCACACATTTGGTCTCTTATAAATAAGAATTCCTACATAAATGCAGTGCTATGTTGTAGAACAAAGCACATTGGAGTATACGAACACTGCGGACCATCCAAATACTAACAGCTCTCACTGCCACCCCATCACTAGCACCTCTAGTACTAAGAGGTACTTTCCATATGGGAAAGCCTGGCTGGAGGGCACTTCCTTACCTGATAAATATCTAAAGCTTGCATTGCATACTTCACAAGTTTGATGTAAATTTGTGTCTCTTTGGGTTGTAATTGCTTATTGGGAATGAACTGAGCTTCTGGAAAAGAGAGAGTATATTAAGTTAACTTGAATAAAACTCCCTTTATGAAAAGTATTGTTTGTCTACATAATTGATGGGCAGAATTACCACCAGGTGCTTTGCATGACGTTATGCCCCACGTGATTGTCTTGACACCACACACCAAGGTTTTGACCAAACTTCGACAGTCTGTGACTTGGAATGTCTGCTTGTCTTCCTTGTCCTTTTCTCCTTGCTTCTCAAAGGGAGGCACAGGGGCCGGGGTCACGGGGGTCGCAGGTGGAGGTGGCGGTGGGGGCGGAGCTGGGGCAGGGACGGGGGCTGGGGAGGGAGCAGGGCCGGGAGCTGCAGGAGCAGTGGGCACCCCGGGCAGAGTTGCTTCCACAGCTCCAAGTTCTGACTGAGGCTTGCACTTCTTAAAAATGGCAGAGAGTTGGTACCGAGCAATAGTGTGGAATTTGAGAACAAAAACCTAATGGGAAAAGAAATTCGAGGGGGAAGACAGAATTATTCCTCTTCAATAGGCCAACAAATACTGCTCAGATCACAGTAAAATAAGATGGGACTGACACCAGCTGCCAAACTCATGTTGCTTATTTTATGAGGTTGGTGTCAAAGGAATTGTAGCTTTTGCCATTAATTTTGATAAAACTGCAATTACTTTTGCACCAACCCAACAAAACTGGTGGAAGGCTGATAATATGTGGGCACCTCCTTTGTGCCAGGTATAAAGAAAAAGAAAAGTGCTGGTTACCTCCAACACCACCTCCGTTTTGCATGTGCATCTGGCTCAGGAAGGCTGAGTGACTGGCCTGACAAGCAGGGCCTGGGTTTCACCCAGGACTGCAGACCTCGTCCCCCTGGGACCCCGCCAGCACCCCCAGGGCTCAGGAATCATATCCCTCACACTCTGGGTGTCTCCCCAGAGACGTCCTTGGCCAGTCAGCACCTGGCCACTATGCCCCCAGAAAAATAACTGTGCTAATTACTTGCCAGGAAGTGTGCTAACAGCTTTCAAGCGCCATCTGATTTAACTCTCACAGTGATCTGGGAGGCAGATATCACCACCCCAGGTGAAAAGATGAAAAAACTGGTCCAAAGAAGTGAAGCATGTGGGGAGCCTGAGTCTGAACCTAGGTAGTTTAACTCCTGGGATCAAGCCTGGCGATGGAGCCGCCCCTGCAGCACTGGTTCAAGTTTAGCCACAAGCCAGGCACAGTGGCTCCTGCCTGTAATCCCAGCACTTTGGGAGGCTGAGGTGAGAGGACCACTTGAGGCCAGGAGTTCACGACCAGCCTGGCCAACATGGCAAAACCCTGTCTCTACTATAATACAAGAGGTTCGCTGGGCGTGACAGTGCATGCCTTAATCCCAGCTACTTGGGAGGCTGAGGCATGAGAATCGCTTGAACCCAGGAGGCAGAGTTTGCAATGAGCTGAGATCAAGCCACCGCACTCCAGCCTAGGCAACAGAGCAAGGCTCTGTCTCAAAAAAAAAAAAAAAAAAAAAGTTTAGCTAACAAACAGGATAGAGGGCAGGGTGGATGAAGCTCTTGGAAGAGCTGGTACCTCCAGCATCCGCATCAGGACGTCTCTCCCGTTGCCGCTCTCCTGCTCGCTCTTGGAGCGGATGCAGTCCACCAGGTTCAGCAGGAGCTTACAGGACATGGTCTGGATGCTGCTGGGAAGGGACTCATCATCGATGTTCTTAGCGAAGAGCTGGACGGCGAGGGAGAGGTCGCTGAGGGGCAGGTGCTGGCGGACGTGGTGCACGAGGTCGGCCAGTGTGCTGTAGGCGAGGGGCCTGCAGGCAGAGACCTCCACTAGTGCTCATTCTAGTGCTCATGCCTGCTGCAGCAGGCCATCAGTGACATCAGCCTCTGCCCCAGGAACACCACTACTGGCACGGCACAGTTACATGGCCCATTTCCCCCATGTTACTCTCTCCCTTACTCCACGTTACTCTCTTCCTTATTGGAAGCAAAATATGACAAATATTGATTCATTTTTATAATGTAAAGATGATTAAATGTTTATTTTATGCTTTAGAAACAGTAACCACTATCACAACTACATTTTTTTTAAGTGTAAGAAACAAAGGTTATACAGACCCATACATTAAGATATTAGCAACACTACTCCATCTCTCTGTGCAGAACCAAAACGTTTTCTTCCCTTCTTTCTTCCTGGTGGGTTATCAAATATTCTTTTTTTTTTTTTTTTTTTTTTTTTTAACAAAAAAGATGCATTATATAAGAGCAAAAAACACTAAAAAGTCAGATAGTTTTATCTAAAATTTAAATCAAGATGATTCCTCTGATTTCTTCCTTTAAGCTAAACTACAAAAAGTAATCTAAGAGCTTTCCAAAAATCCTGCAATGCTTGGCCGGGCACTGTGGCTTACACCTGTAATCCCAGCACTTTAGGAGGCTGAGGCAGGGAGAATTGCGTGAACACAGGAGACACAGGTTGCAGTAAGCGGAGATTGTACCATTGCACTCCAGCCTGGGCAACAGTGCAAGACTACATCT